GCGCTTGGCATGCTTGGCGCGCTTGGCGCGCTTGGCGTGGGTGCGCTTGGTGTGCTTTGTGCGCTTTGTGCGCTTGGTGCGCTTGGTGCGCTTGGTGCGCTGGGTGTGCTGGGTGTGCTTGGTTTGTTGGTGTCTTGGTGTCTTGGTGTCTTGGTATCTTGGTGTCTTTGTGTCTTGTGTCTTGGTGTCTTGGTGTCTTGGTGTCTTGGTGCCTCTGTGGTTTTGTGCCTTTGCGTCTTTGTGTCTCTGCGTGGCTGCTTGTTTTCGTGCTTGCGTCTTCGCGCGCTTGCGTGTTTATGTGTTTGCGTGTTTGCGCGTGTGCGTGTTTGCGTGTTCGCGTGTTTGCGCGTTTGCGTGCTTGCGCGTTTGCGGGTTTCCGGATCTGCGGGTTTTCGGGCTTGCCGGTTTGCGTGCTTGCGTGCTCGCGTGTTGGGGTGCTCGTGTGTTCGTGTGCTCTTGTGTTCGTGTGTGTTCGCGTGTTCGCGTTTTTGCGTGTTCGGGTGTTCGGGTGTTCGTGTGGTCGTGTGGTCGTGTGTTCGTGTGTTTGTGTGTCTGTGTGCTTGTGTGTTTGTGTGGGTGTGTAGGAGTGTGGGTGTGTGCTATTTGTGTGTGTGTGTGTGTGTGTGTTTGAGTGTTTTGTTTTGTTTTTTGTGTTTGTGTGTGTGTGCGTGTGTGCGCATCACATCTAATTAATGTGTTGAGCAGCTTGAGAGTTGCATTCATGAACACAACTGTGCGGACGAGCTCTCTCCCTGGACTTCATGACTGTCGCTTCAGAGCAGAACCACATGAACGAGTCCTACCAATTCGGCACCACAGAAAGGTGCCAAAATCCAGTCAGTGGTTAAAGGCCCCGAATCCATGGGACACGGCCGTGGGTCAAAACCGTTTTGGATCCCGTGTTGGGGTAGGTGCACCCATTTTAGAACCTATTTTAGTGGTTGGATTGAATCGGATGTTCACTGGCGGTACGATTTGGCTTTTGGCCCACAGCCATATAAAAACCAAAACCGTTCGAAGGGATCCCATAGCTCTGAGGCCCTCACCTGAACCGCCGCTGGCCAGGCGGTTGCCCCGAGCCGGGCGCACCCGCAAGGCCTCAGCGAGCCAGAACCTTTGGGTCCCCAAAAAGACGCTCAAGAAATCCAAACACAGTGTAATCTGATCGAAATGACATACACAAGTTTGTTAAACACAACAAATAAAATACTGCGTCGGCTTGAAGCTTTTTGCATTGGAAGGCGTTGGTAAAAATTCATGGATCTCAATTGATAGCCAAAGACCCATGGGTAAGGTGCGTTGATTCTCCAAGATCCCAAATGTCTTGCCTCCCTGCTGCAATATCATGACACAGGTAGATCCATCCCAGCCAAATCTCCACGTGGGGAATGGTCGTGCTTCCACCAACCTGCTCAAAGGAGTTGAGAATCGGTGCAAGCCTCATATGGATGCTCTCCTCAAAATTGCGGACCCCTCCAGGTGCTTTAAAACCATCCAGCAAGGGATCCCCCAGTGAACATCCGATTCAATCCAACCACTAAAATAGTCTCTAAAATGCGTGCACCTACCCAAAATAGGTTCTAAAATGGGTGAATTCACCTACCAACCAAAATTTGGGATCCCAAAACGGTTTTGACCACCACAGCCATACGCCCCGTCTCACCGGCGTTTTCGCCGCACGGCCTCCAGCTCCACGGCTCCACGGCTCCACGTCTCGGCTTCTCGGCCCTGAGGCCCTGGCCCCGCTGTTGGAGTCGCAGGTGATCTGCACGGTGTAGGAGACGGCGCCTACCAAGCGGAAAGGGTTCTGTGCTCTCTGGGGTTACGGTTGCGCAACCCCGGGACCCCGGGGCGAAAGAAAGAGAAAAAGGAGGAAGGTTCGGCGTTTTCCAGGTTTTGGGGCTTTGTCAACATCGACACCTTGAATTCTTTGGCATCTTCGAGAGTGGAACCCCTCAATGACTCAAGATAGCAGATTCTCTTCGCACCTTGAGACGGTTCGGAGGTGAGAACACGAGCCGCCTGAGCGGGCAAGCAGAGATTGGCTCCATCCGGCGACTCCATCCGATGCGGTCCGATGGGCAAAGCGTGTGGTGAGGCAAAGCTGCTGACTGGGAGTCTTCAGGGCAAGGCATTGGCTGCCGCTCCGTGGGCCGTAGCGAAAGCGTCTGGCTCGGCCTGGCAGCTTGCTGGCTGCGTATAGGGACGAGAGTCCTAGATCATTTCAGCCCCTAGTGGCAAGCCTTTTTCGTGGGTCGGAAAGGAGAAAATCGACAAAGGGACGACTATGCCCTTTTTGGTAGGGAATAGCGTTCAAGCGGATTTGAGCTCCGGGCGCTCATCTCTGCCTTAATCAGCTAGGAATTGCCTTCGAGTTTGGTGTGCCGCCAAGCGTCAGGCGGCTGAGCCGGCTGAAGCCGCAGGCTCCCGAGACTTCTCCGCTTTGCTCTCCTTGCCGTCCTTTCCATGAGCCTGGCTCCAGCCACGCTTGGCAACCATGCACCATGGCAGCGCGCAGTCAGGATGGACAGAGCTAGGTCAGGTGTCTGCTGGTTCTGTGCTTTGCTTGTGCCGATGTGCGCTGTGAAAGTAAAGCCCACGACGGACAGCAACATCCAGGCCAAAGCACCTTTTGGTGAGGCTTCTGAGTTGTTCCAACGCCTCATTCAATTCTCTTGAACACCGCCATCCCCCGCAAGGGTTGTGACGCCAATCCCTGGATTGAAAGGTTGGCGCCCGCCTGGATGGTGAATCTCAGCTGCCACTCCCCAGCCGCCATGGCCGATGGTGTGCCGCGAGAGGCCTCGGTAGGGCTCAGACCCATGGAGTCCCAAAACGAAAGCGGAAAAGACGCGTTTTGCATCATACGCGCAACACGATGAGAGCAAACGTGACGCTGTTTCGTATGTTGATTGGTCTGGATGAGCAAAAAACCGCCAGAGTTGGGGTCATGCGGCCAGCCATGACCTGTTCTGCTGCATAAATTCTAGCCGAACATGTAAAACTTGATCCCAACGGTGAGCTCGGGACATGGTTCCTTCGCTTTTTCTTGGAGAGTACGCGGGGCTCATGGCAACCTGACTTCCACATCCTATTCAAAAGCAAGCATATCCACTGCATCGGCCTTCTGGCGCAACAATGCCATTCTTCCAAATGAAGATTTTGCCGGTGTTCTGCTCCTTGCGAACGTTTTGGCGTTGCATGAAGCTGCCCTTGGTGCTTTGCAGATTCCACTGCAAGAGGTTTTCGGCAAGTCCTCCTCAGGCGTGTCGAACTGCTGAGGATCGTTGCTCTGCCTGCGACGCAGATGAGTCTCTCACGTTGCAACTGGCGCATCGCACCTCGGAAAGTCCAGGAAAATGAGCCGGTCCGCTTTCAAGGGCAGGTTCGGCACTCGGAACCACCTGAAGCTCATGGCTAAAGATGGCTCTCACGAACCAAACAGCTGTTGGGTATAAGACAACACACCTCAGAGTGTAGGAGTGGCCTTTTTCTGACCCATTTTGGTGGTTTTGAATTGAAGGGAAACCAAAGGGAAAACCACCATTTTGGAGGGTTTTAGTGACAAAACAATCCAAACCCAAACCCGCTTGGTCGGGATTCCGAGGCAGCTGCAGCGTCAAGGAATAGCAGTTGATTCGGCCGCCAGCTGTGCCGCGTAGCTGAAGTTCTTTCACCTAGCGCGAGCAACAGGGGTTGACCAACTTTCGTATCGCTCCAGTGTGAGCTTAAAAGCAAGCCACGCACTTCAAGTACTGAGAGGTTGGACTCATTAGCAAGTCACTTCTTGAGGGTTTTTCGTATGGGCTTGTTCGGAGACATGACAACGCATTTCACTCGACTTGCTGTAAATTGCGTAACTGGCAGGAACTGGCGCTCCAGCTACCTTCACATCTGAAAGAGTAGCGGCACTGCTCACTGCGGATTTCAAACGGCCACAAACTGCGCGCTCAGTATCTGGAAGGAGATGTATCGAAGCCGCTATGACCAGACATGAGTGAAAGGAAGTCTTTCAGGACACATCAGAGATTAACATGAGCGCAACAAACAAGCAGAAACCACACGATCAATTGGGTCGACAACATCCTGTCACACAGAAGGAGAGTGGGGTTGCGTCCCTGTTCCATATCACCCAACTCCTTGAGTTGGCTGGTTAGGGCATGCCATGGTTCACACACACACACACATGCGCACACACACACACATGCGCGCGCGTCCACACAAAAGACAAACAACGCACACGCTGTGGACTGGTCCCACGCCGGATTTCCTTTTGGGGCACGCCACAGAACCGCAAAACCAGACATCTCTCTCGACATGCTGAGCTAAGGACCACGAGGCCTGGCTTGCTGAGAGCCACAGCGTTTAGGCGAAATAAGCTTGCTGTTTTCGCTTTTTGCAGGTGACATGTGGCCATGGGTCAAAATCCGAATCGTACCCCTGGTGAACATCCCAATCCTCACTAAAATACACTAAAATGGGTGGTGCACCTACCCCAAAATGGTACCATTGGTTTTGACCCACGGCCACATGTGGAAAAACCAACTGGCCCCTTTCAAGGGGTGTTGCCGGGCGTGGCAACCAGTGGTAAGTGGCAAGTGACTGGCAGCGATTGACTCGCTCCGCCTGCCCCGGGCTCCAGCAAGCAGAAGCTCTTCCCTGAGGAGCCATAGAGCTCAGGCACCTGCCCATGTTTTCACTGGAGCCCAGTAGCCCCCGATTCTTGTCACGCGAGCGAGCTGTGCCCGGGGCCCCAAAAGGGGGCAACTGAACGCGCTGGCGGTCAAGACCGGTTTTGCAGCTGAGGAGTCGGCCAGCTCCACGACTCCGAGTGCATAGGTTTCCTTCGGCAGTCGTGCAGCCTGCCAAGGTCGTGAAATGAGTCGGGTAGGGAAGCCGTATGCAAATCCGTGCCTGGAAGTTGTACTCCGTCCAACCTTCACCGCTTTCTGGATTCTGTCCAAGCTCTTCTTCAATCAGTACCTCTTTCAGGCCCAATGCCAGCATTGGCCCAACGGATAGATACGGGATGCGGCAAATGCCACGGTTTCTGCCTGGTTTGCGTTTGTGTTCCCTCACCAGTCCATTCAATTCTCCTGTTTATCACCCTTACAAAAACACGCATAGTCCTTGCCGTCAGCAGCCCACCTCGATCCCCTCCTCCTCCTCAGCCTTCAGCCGCTCCTCGTCAGCTTCTGCCTGCTGTTGCGAAGGGGCGAGTTGCTTCAATCAGAGGGCAAGCATTCTACGACAAATTCGCACTCGCGCTTTTCTGCAGTCGCCAATGTCAACAAAAACTTGTGGATAGATGCCTGATTTCGGGCTGAAAGTGGTGTTCTGTCTGCAGACTGTTCCAGAGGCAAATCGGCTTTGTGGCTCACCAGCCTTCCGCTGCCTGGCTTTCCGCAAGTGCACTTCTTGTTCCACCTCCAGCCAGCGCAGCATCTTAGCTCTGCTTCAAGCAAAAACCAGCTGGCCTCTGCTGCAGTGACCACGTCGCTGGTTTGCCTCTTCCTGTGCAGCGGAGAAGGGCTATGAATGTTTCCAAAAAAACAAAAACTAATCCTAGGGCGTAAAGCCGGGAATGTTCAATGAAGAAATGGATTCGCTAAGCAATGAATCGATGCTTAGCTTTCCCCGCTCTCTTGCTCGACACGTGGCTGACGAGTGAGCAGCATGATCCACGGGAGAATTCTGGGCGGCCGAGCAACAGTTTCCTTGGACTGAGTCTCAGCCACATGCTTTGACTGCCAACACACGCTGTGCATCTTCAAAATGCGGTCGCTCGGCAACTGCTGAGGCGTTGGGATTTGTTCAACTTGCTGCAAATTGCAAAGTTCCCCAAGTTCGCCAAGTGGCTTGTGATGCGAGATGTCTTGCACCTTTGGCTTCTTGGCTGTGCCAATGGACTCCGGCAAGGAACTGTGGCCTTGGCGCGTTCTCGGTTCTTTTCTCTCGTCGCTCGCGGCCAAATCAGCCCCCGATCCCCTTCGGCGCGCCGGAGATGCCGCTGGTCAGCAGGCTGTTCACTTGGGTCTTCACAAAGGCCAGGAACCTCGGAGTGAGCTCTCGCAGAGTGGGCTGAGTCAAGTCGCTTGGGGGAATTGGTTGCTTTAGGAAGAAAAAAAAAGATGAATCGGAGTCACGGATGTCATCTGGGGCGCAGGGCTCTTGATTGTCCACACAGTAGTCACCATTCTCATCGATCGCTTCGACCTGGCGCAAAGCATTCAAATCCGTCATGCATCTTGAGCTTTGAGCCATGTTGATTTATTCGTGCAAAAAAAACGCTCTTGAAGCAAAGGACGGAATACGCAAGCTTTCCACAACTCAGCTCCTGGCCCAATTTGCAACCTCTTCCGCCGTGAATGCAAAGCCCAAATCCTGCAGTTCTGTCCGTCTAAGAACAGGTGCACAGGTAGCTTCCGATTGCCAACAGGACTCGCCATGCCCCAACCACCCACGAAACAAAACGAAAAACTTTCCTTGCAGCGGTGCCTACCACTTTGCTTTGTGGGGAGATGCGGGAAATACCAGCAAAAGAAGAGATTGTGTTGCGGCTTGCCGAGGCAACACAACACTAGGGCTTGGGCATGCAGCGCCCGGCAGAATTCCATTGGCTCCAGCAGTCCCGAATTGTCCACGTCGTACTTTTGGAACGCGGCCTGCACGGCCCAGTGTTGAGTGCCCACGCAACGGTGCCGCCGCACGGGTGTCAAACCTCCCAGACATCCCCGCCTCCACCGACAAGCCTTGACCCTCAATGGCGTCTCTCAGGCGCACGGCTCGCAGTCGTGACAGGGTTTGGTCAAACCTCGCAAAACAGCAAGGCAGCAAAGCAGCAAAGCAGCAGAGCAGCCGGCTTTGCTTGCATCGCTTTGGATCCATCCTCTCTGCTTTCTCAGACTACGAATTTGCTGTGCCCGCGGCTCTAGCCAGTTCCTCTGCAGCACTGCAGAAATTGGCTGCTCCTGCCGGCCAAAAGGGAAAACCAAAGGAAAGTTGGATCTGACCTGGCCAAAGCCAAACCCATCGCCGCACGCGTTTGCACAAACACGCCACCTGCCAGTTGGACAAGGCCCTACGTCTGCAGCTGCCCAGGCCTTAGAGATCGCGCACTTCCATTCGCGCGTGAGGACAAAGGACGCGCTTTGGCCCCTTCGGGGCGCCGGCTTTCCAGGAATCGGCGCCGCGCAAAGGGCTGGTCGTGCTGAATGGCCTCCATTTGCGTCTTATCGAACTTGCATCGCTGGGAAAGAGGCTGAGAGAGGCACGCGCAGCAGCACCGAGATCTCCGGCTCACGGTAGAAGGTCTGGCAGTCCAAGAAACGCGCCACCTGCTGCCTCGGACATTCTGATCTGCTCCGCTCCAACGTGTGCCATGTGTGCTCCCGGCATCGTCGATGTCTGAAACTTGGGCCCGGCTCCGAAGCCCAACGACCTTCGGACCCAGAGGCATGGGACAAGGCTTAAGCAATAGATACCTCACAAGACTGAGAGGAATCCGACAAAAATAAGCATGCTCATGGACAACTTAGACTAAGGTTGCGCTAGCTCTGCCAAAACTTGGCCAAACCGAATGCAGATTTCAAGGCATGGTGCTCGTCGAAGACCATGTGGTTGGACATGACACAGCGCCTCGGCTGCCGGGCTCCTTTAGGCGCAGTTCCCTGGAGCTTCGAGGTCGGCACAAGGCCACACTGGTCTCCGGATGCTGCGGCAGCAAAGGTCTGCCCACGCCTCCCCAAAAAAATCGAGAATCGGCAAGCGCACCGGTTGAACGCAGCTCTGGACCCTGAAGCGTCCAACGAGTAAGCCCGGCATGTTGATTTGTTTTTGCTTGTTTGGGGGGCGGCCGAATCAAAGGGCATGGAGGCATAGATACGTATTCTGCACAAGCCAAAATCGCATGAACGTCACTCGGAGTCTGGCGACAGTGCATGATCCTGCGGAGTGTCTCGGCCTGGCACAAAAGCGAAACAGGCGCGCATCCGAAGAGTCGGTTGTAAGGTGCTTGGTGCTCCCAATTTTCAGAGACCCAGAGCCACGGGGGCTGAAAAAAATGCTAGCCGAGCCAAGCAAGGCTTGCCTCGGCCAAAGATAGCACGATGAAGCCACGCCCCTCATCTCGCGGGCGGAAATATGCGGAACCTGTGCGAGCAAGTCCCTTCAAGACATCGAGCAAATGGAGGCGTGCAATCGGAATAGTGCAGCACGCCCATCTAGGGTTTGCGCGCAGCAACCGGCAAGCGTCCACGTAGCCAAGGCCTCAATATCTACCGGTGTACCGGCCGGTGGGAATTCAATTTGCTGCCGAGCAGTGCACGTGCATCCTCCTCCGAGCAAGCTTTTGTTGCCACCGCTACCTGCCAAACTTGGTCAAACGGCAAACTGCAAACAAGACGTTTGATCTGGGGTTGATCAAACACACAAAGAAGAGATGATATATGCTTGCCACATGGGAGAAAAAGTTCCCCCCATGCAGACTGGGGGCCCTGAAAGATCAACCCCCACATCTCTTACTGAGCCCCAGCCTCGGGATCGCCTCCGCTTTGCAGAACCGCCATGGCGGTGGAGACCCGGTGAAACGCCGTGTCCTTAAGGCAAGCCGGCCATGAGAAACATGATATCAACCAGCAGCAGGCGCAATCTAAGGCTTTGGCCCAGTCAAAGGAGGCCTGTTCAGTCTCACAGCCGATGGGTCAAAATTCCAGGCTTTAGTCCGTGTTGCCACTTGCCAGTGCGACCCATTTTGCCTTACCCCATTTTTCACAACCACAGCCAGCCTCTGAAGCATCTAACAGCCGCGGCCGAGAAGACAAAAATGGCGCCTGGCCTGCAACAGCCGCAGGATCTCCATGTGGAGGATCTGGCCTTCCGGCCTGGGACGACGAGAAGCCATCCACACCCGCGCGCCGCACTCAGTGGCGCGAATTTGGCGCTGAGCCCCCCGCGGCTCGAAATCCACGTGCTGCCCGCCTTGGGACCTAAAACACTCGCAGCTTTCAAGTTTTCGCCGGTGAGCTCTGACAATCCTCACACCCACCACACCAACCTCGAACCTCTGTTGCCGCTTCTTTTCCGGTTTTCAGGCGATCCCAAAAATTATTGATGATTGCAGAGAGCCTCCAAAGTCTTGAAGGGGCAGATCTGTTCACAGAAGGAGGGCAAGGGCTGCCAGGGGCAACGCCCTACTTTGCTTGTCTTGGTCCGGGAAACTTCTCACGGTTTAGGGTGATTTCAATTTAATGCAAGCGAGGCAGGGCAGGCTCGCCCATGCAAGGTACATTTCGTGCTCAAAGAGAATGTTCAACACGTTGGCTCCATCAAGGTGTGTTCTTTTGCAACCTTCCTAAGGCGGGGGCGGCTCTGCTGTTTGGAGGCTTGTGTCTTGACGTTTATCGTTTTTGGGTGGATCTTCCCACGCTTGTGCCTTCACCGCAAAGGCGCGTGCCTGTACATTAGGATTTGATTCTTGGATTCGCGCAACTCGCTGTGTATTGGTTAGCGTCGGCTTGCAAAAAAGGCACCATATGAGGAGCAAATGAAATGGCTGCTTGCCCTCTGTGCTTGTTGAGCCTCTTCATGTTTGGGGGAGACCTGGTCGTTTTACAGTGCTTTCGCGCTTTGGCAGCTCCGGCTCGGAAGTCGCAACTTTTCAGCACGAGGAGGGTAGTACACGAAGTACACTTTGGCAGCTCCAGCTGAACGTCGCAACGTGCAAGCGTGGTGCGTGCAGTACACGTTGGCAGCTCCGGCTCGAAAGTTGCAAGTTTTCAGTACCAGTGTGGCATGCGAGGTACACTGTTCGAAAAAGGATCGAAAGTCGAAGCTTTTCAGTACAAGCCTAACACGCGAAGCACGCTTTGGGGCCCGACTTTTTAGTACAAGTTGAAAGTCCTATTCTCCTCTGCCTGCGGGAAGCGCTCAGACACCTTCAGAACCAACCCCATACGGTTCAACTCTGATCAAATCCCCCTAGAAACCAGCAAAATTCCCTCTAGAAACCAGTCAAATTCATTTCACCTTCGTTTGGCCCAAGCCCACTGCCATTCCGTAGCTCTCGGATCTCTTTCTGCCCCTTCAGCCATGTGGAAACGCGCGGAAATGCAAGCACCCTCAACCTTGGAAAACAGCTCACGCATTTCGGCGCCGACTCACTCACTCTAACAAACACAAGACTGCCAACTAGAACACAGCTGTATCCTCAAAGCCAGCCAAAAGCGGACTGGTACAATTATGAAGAATTGCATCTCAAACTCGTCTCAAAGCCACATGGTGCAAATGCCACGAAGCCCATCACACAGTTCCTGCACAAGCGCATCTCCACGTCGTGTGACCCATACAATGTCACCATCTCGTATTAGCGTGGGCTGGACATCGATCATGTTGGTGCTGCTGGCGATCATGGCTGAATGTTGCTCATGCCAGTAGTGGCAGCTGCTGCGGCGTTTATCGGTCTAGGCCTGAGAGGCTGCACCAGATCGATGCGCCAGCGTGTGAAAAACGGCAAGTGGCCCGTCACACAAGTCTCAGTAGGCTGGCCTGATGGACGGTGTGCCGAGGTGGAAAGGATGAAACGGAAAGGGGGGGCACACTGTAAGGAACGTGAAAGAGGAACGTGTCCGATTGGAAGAATACAACGTAGCGCCATGCGCACTGCTGTCGCAGGCTGGCAATGTGCCAATGAGCTGCAAGGCGCAGGTTGCAGGAACCAGTGCAAGGAACCGGCTTGACTCGCGCCAAAACGTGCGATGTTTTTGCAAGAATGAGTGGGCAGGGTCTCCTATCTAAACTGCAGTTGATTGGTTTGAGTCCGTGCTGCATTCTGTTGCCAAGTTTTGGCGGCCTGCGTTTTCGGACTCCCGTGACCCCCATTCCAGATGCCGACAAGCGAGTCCGGGTGCGCAAAGCAACAAACGCAGTTGTCGACTGCCAAACCCTTTTGGAAGGTGGGCAGAAACAAACAAAGCATAACCTGGCACTACGAGTGTTGCTTGAGATGTCTTGCCACATGTTGCCAGTAAACGGAGCACTCCTTTTGATCAAACCCGAAACTCTCTCTGCCAGGACATTTCACCAGCATGTGGTGCATCCCTATAAAAACCAGTGACACGAGCCCAATGTCGGAAAACGAATCGTGGACCCCATCAGTTCACTTGGCTGGAGGTCACTTTCCAAGGGAACGCGGGAATGAATCTTGAAAAACCACCTTCAAGAAGCTCGCCATCGTTCCATGGTTCTGTTGCCAAAGCTCCAAAGACATCGGAGGGCGCCTTTGGCGCTAAGGCGCCGGGCGCAGGGGAGCCCTGGGCCTCCTCGGCGCGGTAGCGCCACTTGGGCGCCATCTCCTCGGAACCGCGTCGACGGGTTCCATGGGCGGCTTGGTTTCGGGTGGCTCGGGTTTGGGGGTCTGGGGTTTAGGAATCTGGGGGTTTAGGGCGGTGGTTTAGGGTGGCCGGGGCAGGGCTGGGGAGCGGTAGGGAGGGCCCTAGGCGGTAAAATGGGGTAGGATGAGGGTTTGGTGTTTTATGGCCGGGGCAGGGTTTCGGGGTTTGGTGTTTTATGGCCGGGGCAGGGTTTCGGGGTGTGGGGCCAAGTGTTTTTTGGGTTTGGGGGTGTTTTTAGGGTTTGGGAGGGGGAGGGAGGGCCCTGGTGCGCAATGCCGGGGCCTGTCGCAAGGCGACTGGCTTGAAGGAATATGCGTCCTTTGGTTCTCGCTAAGTGGAGGCATCTAATCATCACATCACCGGCTGTGTAGGAATCAGATCACGCCACGTTGCCTTCGCACCTCTTGCGCGACCCGAAGGAACAACCTAGTCTATGCAGTAACTTCCGTCTGAAGGCACATGCATGTTATAAACTAAATTCGAGCCTCATGCGCCCAGTGCGGACACTTGAAGAACCAGATCCCGAGGTCAGGAGCGCTTCCTTCCCTCCATTGGCCGCTCAATCTCATCTGTGGCTGAGGCACTCGCGCACTCACCGGCCCCTTTGCGATTCAGCAGGTCCCAAATCTGGCCACTCAATTGAGCAGGTTCCAATGAAAACTAATCCGATCCGATGCAATCCGATCCGATCCGAACCAAACCCAACCGAACCAAACCAAACCAAAACCAATCCAATCCAATCCGATCAAATCAATCAAACTAACAAACAAGAAGCAAAGCTCTGGCCGAATCGACTATCATGCAGGCGTGCGGATGGGCAAGGCTCCGGCATCTCTCTCCAGACAACTGGCGCTGCTTTTCCCGTGGTGATACACTTGCAATCGAATCAAGCTAGAGCATTTTGCCCTAGACTTCGAGTCGCACAGGCAAGTTTAGAGCACTGTGTCGCGTTTAAAGGCTTTGTTCAGGTCCACGCACGCATGCGCCGAGCCCAGATTCCACAGGGAGTCCGGACACTGGAAGGCCATGCAGAGCTTCAAAACGGCCAGCGCCAGCGCCAGCACGAAGGCGGCGGTGGACCAGCGCACGTACTCCCGGTACCGGGTGACCCTGGCCTCCGCGGCGCGCCACACGAAGTAGTTCTTCAGGTCCTTCCAGGTCACGGGTTCGTCGGTCTCGTTGATGTGCTTCATGACCTCCTCCACCCGGTGAAGGGCCTGGCTGGCGTAGTGCAGGACCTTCTGCACGTGGATCAGCAGGAACAAAGCGCTGCCCAAACTCAGGGAGATGGAGAACAAGCGCTGGAAGTCCACCTCCTTGTTCTTGCTGGTCACACGAAACATGGCGTACACTGAAATCTGAACATGAGTCTGCAAGGCTGTGTTGAACAGCCCCAAAGTGATCACTTTCAGAAAACACCTGGTGAGAGCATTCCTAGTGTAGATCTCCAGTGGCTCATGCATCTGCCGCAAGGCGTTCCTGGATTGCTCCACTGATTTGCAGTCACCTGTCTGTAGCTTCTCCATAAGACCATCCAGTATGATAAAGGTCTTCTCACGCGGATAGGAGGGGCTCTGCTCATCTATGAGGTACATCCCCAGCCCGCTGCCTAGCATCATGACCGAGTCGCCCTGGGTGAAGCGCCCGCCCAGAAAGTTGGTGTACTCCGCGGAGTTGTCCGCCTCCAGGGAGTAGTCGAGCTGCCAGGGCCAGCGATCTTCCGGCACGGACTCCAGTAAAGCATGAATGATCGGGGAGAAAGAGAGGAGCCAGCAGAACAAGACCTGACCTGACAGCGGAATCTCCCGCAGCCACCAGGCAAAGCTGGATTGGTGCAGCGTCACATCCCAGACCTCATTGAAGCTGGTCCGGCGTTCGTGCTCCGTGCCCGCCGCGTAGGTGAGTTCGCAACCTGCCGTCGCAAATGTCCTCGCAGCGAAGACTGCGTTGGAAAAAATGGCGCCCTGGAATGCCAGTGATTTGCAGGCCCCGATCAAGAACCAGAGATGGAAGCCCACTTGACACTTCAGCATTTGAAAGCGGCCAACCACCTGAAAATATGGAATTGTGGTGTATCTGAAGATACGGACTTCGTACATAAAATGCATCACGACGAATGGCGCTGCGCACATCCAAACCCAGCATGGCACCGGATGATCCATGCCATTTTCGCAGGAGGATTGTAAGTACGCCAGGACAAAGACGATGGTGGGCCCCAAGACCGACATGATGGCAGTGGAGTAAAGAAGACGATTCGCAGGCGGCGCGATCTCCCGATACTTCAGCTGCCGTCCCACATGATTCGCCTTGAACTCCACCTCCTCGTGGATGAAGCAACCGGGCGGCGGCCTGCCGGGCCGACCTCGAAACCAGGCCACGTGATCAAGCCAGTGCTCCTTATCCGACTCACTGGAGGAGTAGAAGCAATCGAAGCCCTCGTCGCAGGCGCGGAAGATGGGCTCGAATCCATCGATGGTGGTTGGTCTCCGAGAGGGCATGGCCCGGCAATGGAGACAGTGATTTGTTTCTTTTTATGTTTTTGTTTTTGTATTGGGTCATTCACCAATCGCAAGTCTGAGTTGACTGAACCACGGCGTGTGAGCCTTTTGCTTGGAAGGCCAAAAGGCAGGGCCACGGCGCTCTGCCCAGGATCCTGTCCTTGAGCCCAGGTGGCTGGAGAACGGCTCCGGGAGCGGGTGGAGTCTACGAGTCTACATCCGCGTTCATCATGGCGTTGGTCTATTCAGCCAGTTGTTTGGCAGCGAGGGGCACCACAAAAACAAACCCATGCTCGAAGACCTCAACCGGGGCACTGCATCCATCCTGGCAGCCGCTGTTTCCGAAACGGGTCTGGGACTCATCTTTTGCAATTGGCCAAGGTGTCAACCCACCCACTCCACATGCAAAGCCAGCGCGCCAGGTGCATCTTGCGGTGCATCTCGTGCTCTTCTGCACGAGTGAGGGGTACTTCGTTCTTGCCGCGCTGAAGGCGGGACCTGTCCGTGACCTAAGGAGATGCGTCTCAAACCGCCGGCGGATGCGGCGTCCAAATCCCGTCGGACCGAGCGCCCAGTCCCATTCCAGCTGCATGAAGACATTCTTCACGCGTCTGAATCCGCTCCATTGAGGATCAAACCTTGCAGAACAAGTCAAGTGCAAACAGCGCAAACCAAGTAGCCCGACTGGCCATGTCTAAGGTTCGAGCCAGTTCCTTGAAAGCAAGCACTCCTCCCTCAGTTGAAATAAAACACGCCCCCAAATGCCACTGAGAAATCCGAGCCATGGTCAAACCTGCGTGTATGGGGGGTCATGGCAGAGTTTAAAAAGAGACCCTCACAGAGCATATTACTGTCCTGAAGATAATCCCATGTCTTTTGACCGCGACCCATGGAAAGCTCTCAGCGCAGCACGGCAGCGACTTCAGCGGCTGTCTCTTCCAAAGGCAAAAATCGCGGGCCTGCGCGACGATAGAAATGCCCCGATAGCCCGCGTCCTCGCTTCCACCTCGTAGAACTGCTTCGGTAAAGTCTTCTCTTCCGGCACCGAGAGGGTATCCACCTGGATGCAAGACCATGGGCTTTTCAGCTGCTGAAACCAAACATGGCAAAGGTGGGATGTGCACAGCACACGCCACTTAAAACCTGCATCCCTAAACTGTTGCTTCTGGTCATGGCTGAGGCTCCTGCATCCCATGGAACTGGCTCCTCATGATCTCGGCAGTGCCTTGGTCGCGTCAGCTGCAAGGCACAACACCCTCGTGCAGAAACTGTGTTTGAGTGCTTTCAAACGCGAGTCTTTCGTGCATTGAGCCAACTGAGAAGACAGTGTTCTTTTTCCATCTTGCCGTGCTTGCAGGAGCCGCGTCCAAAGTATCGCTTCCAAAACTAAGCACACGTGCCATGTCTAACCTACAGGCGCTCCCTTAAGCAAGGCCCAGAATCGAAAAGAGCAATCTCAGAAAGAGAGAGCTTTCAAACAACCTCACGCTGAGTGAGAGAAAGGTCCTACACATGCCTTTCGCATCAAAACCGAGGCGTCACACGTCGTGCGAGAAGCGGCACTCGTCGCCGAAGCGGCAGCTGCCGTTGTCGCGGAAGTCGAAGCAAATGCTCTTGCCACCGCCCTTGCCGCCGCCCTTGCCCTTGCCGCTGGGGCAGTCACGGGCAAAGTGGCTCCCTCCGCAGTTGAAGCACTCCACACTTTTTCCGCTGGACTTGCCTTCCTTTCCTCCCTTTCCTCCCTCTGGGCAGTCGCGCGCAAAATGCGGCCCGCCACACTTGAAGCAATCCACACTCTTTCCGCCCCCCTTCTTGCCCTTGTCTTTGCCCTTGCCCTTGCCACCCTGGGGACAGTCTCGTGCGAAGTGGTCGCCTCCGCAATTGAAGCATTCTATTGGGCCTCCCATCTTCTAAGCTCCGAACCACTAACTTCAGATGTCAATACACACCGTCTGCGTGCAGCTGGAACCGAATTCTTGAGCCCAAAGAGCATTTGCAAGAGCATCTGTCTTTGAGAGATGAACCAAAGCCTAAGAATCAAATCCAATGCAGTGAGGCGTCCATCAAGGGATCAAATAAGACATCCGCATCAAATCCACAAACTTCTCGATTTGGATCTCCTGCTCCCTCTGGCTCTCCTCTTCGACCTGGCAACGGACTCCCTCCTTCTCTTGTTGCAACCACTGGACGAATCTGCGACGCAAACAAAAAACAGGCGCGCTCCCACCCGAAGTGTCCACACCAGCCGAGAACCGGCTGTCGTCCATGTAGCTGCTTGTGCTGCGTTTGGTTTAAATGGCAAAGGGGTCCCCTGATAAGGTTGGCCAATGAGCCAGCCATCTTTGCGTCCACAATGAGTGGCCCATGGGTCAAAAGCCCGTACCCCCAGTGAACATCCCAATCCCCACTAAAATAGGCTCTAAAATAGGTGGTGCACCTACCCCAGAATGGGAACCCATTGGTTTTGACAACCACAGCCATGTCCCGAAGCTTGGCACATTCACATCCCACGAGACTCTGCGCACCACACCTCCTGCTGCCTCTCCTGCTCCTGCTCCCGCTGCTGCTCAGTCTCGAGACCACGCCTTGCTAGGGCCCAATCTGACACGCCCTGTGAACTGATTTGGGTGTGTCTTGTTGTTGGGCACCCCCCTCCCCCCCCCAAAAAAAAAGAGGCTTCGGTTGGCCTTTTGATTTCCCAACAAAAACCACAAAACGGGTATCCTCAAACAATGACACCCCCCATTTGAGCACCACCAGCACCATCTGCACCCAAAAGCCAGCTGTGACTCTAGCTGACGTTGATGCAGGCCCATAACTCAGAGAGTATAACGACTTGCTGAATACAGGGGCATTTGAAGGCGGCACAAAAGGAAGCCAGTTGAATGACGGACCGATTCATGGCGACGCGAGGCTTGGTGTGTCTTAAGAGGGAATGCGCCAAATTTGAGACCCCTTTCATAGTCGGTGCGCTCCGGTTTTCTCTGCATGCCTGAAGGAAACGCAATGCATGTGGACACCTTCCATGACTCAAAAGTAGAGCTAGCCCAAGAAGTTTGTGAAACAATTCGCCATGCCTTGGGTGCGAGGGACAATATATGCTCAAACCGGCTGAGACTGCTCTTTCCGTGTCTCTGTCTTCGCCAGTCGTAGCTTCACAAACAAAAAAAAAAAACTCCCCCCCCCCCCCCGTTTTTTTTTTTTTCCAGGCCGTTGGCCCGCCATCCGAACATCCGAACCCCGGCTCCAGCCGCGGCATGGTACGCCCCGAGTGCCCGACTCTCCTTCGGTTTCTTGAGACTCAGCTCCGGCCTGGCATGGTCTGTCCTCTTTTTTGAGGACGCCGCCCCCGCCCCAAAAAATAATAAATAATAATATTTAACACAAAAATGAAAAAAATGAAGAAAAAAAAACGATAAAAATGGTGGGTGGCCTTGTGGTGTCCTTTTAAAACCACCCCAAAAACGAGTGCCCTCCAACAAAAGCAAGCCCATATGCCGGGAAAAAAGAGAGAGAGAGAGAGAGAGAAGCCGTGAGCGGCCTCAGCCAACCGCTGCATGTTGCCTCGAATCTCTTCCACTTCCGGCCTGGGCAAAGAATGCTTGGTCTCAG